CCTATATCTATAAAACTAATTTCATGAAACCTTTATCCCTATTTTGTTTTCTTCCCTCTTGAGTTTTTTCCTCACCAAATATATCACAGAAAAGTCATAATGTGTTTTTTAAGAAGATTTATTTTGAATTAAGTGACTTCATGATACAACATGATTTTAAACAAAAATAGAGATCAGTATGAAAATAAAACAAATTGTACACATTAAAATATCTTCCCCTTAAAGCATTTCAGAATCATAAAAAAATACAACACAAAAGGGAGAGGTTCAGGTGAAGATAAGAATACAGACTTCACAGACAATGAACAACTAGTCTATATTTCAGAGTTCCAGGCTCTAATTAATACCACTCATGAATCATTTCTAGGATGTCAATAATCTACATTATTTGCTTTGTAATAAGAGGATGAAATTTAAATATAAGGTGAAATGAAAGCTGTATAATCTTAATGCCAATAGCAAATTCTTCCCATTATTATTCTCTAGTAAAAGTCACATTGAATATGAAGCTTAAGTCAACTGAACAAAAATGGAAACATAGCTATTAGCTGTGATACACTGTATAGTAGATACAGTGGGTGAGTTGGTGGAAAGAAATGAAAACTTTAAAAAAATACACCACCCGTGATCTACTGAAATCTTAGAAATAATATTTTTTTTACGGAACTTTAATATTAAAAAGTAAGCATTATTATAAAATTAGATTAATACTTTCAGTAAGAGGCAAGAGAGATGCATATATTTTTACTTATCTGTTTTGGAATGCCTGCATCCCTATTATAAAAACATGTAATCTTTGCACTTTCCAACATAGTAACAGCCTCACATTTTATTTATGATATCATATAAAGAAAAATAGGTCGTAATAACATCTTTTGGAGCATTAGGGTCCAAAAAGAACATTTGGTTCTGTGTGTTTCCTGATTAATCATTCTAAAGTATTTCTTGAACATTATCCATCTTTTTTTTTTTTTTTTTTTTTACAGGTGATGATAACCAGAAGTTTACCGATGGTTTTCTACCAGCAACAGTAATAGCTTATTCAGTTTGATTCATTCAACATACCCATCAACACTCCTCAGGGTTGTAATATCTTAAAAGAAGATCTAATTGAAAGATATTACCTGCCCAAGGCCACTAAATGTAAAAATCACATATATAAATTTAGTTTTCCTGTGTTCCCCAGAAACCATACATCTAGGGCCTTCCAATTCTGCTTAACTGTTAGATTATGAAAGCCAAGTAAACTACTTTACATATTAAGTCTAAGTAAATGTATTTTCAATCTTGATTAACTTTCTGAAAAATTGGAAACACTGATTGGGTCACCATTTGCAATTCAGTAACCAAATTCTTCAGTTTTGCTTTTAAGATTAACAGATCAAATTTCAGTTACCATTAGAAACCATGAAAATGTTTCAAAAGCTGTTCTAATGTCAAAGAATATATGCTAAAAAACAAATTAAGCATAATAAGTGCCAAGCAACACCCTTTCTTTTATTTCATATACAAAGTTCAATAATTGTAATAATAATTCTTGTTAAAAAATATCCACAACATAATTTATTATTAAATTGTCCAATCTCCTGATTAAGCTATGGTTAGCTATAATACTGTTGGGCTGAATTCTGTTTTGCAAAACAGAAATTATTATCAACCTATTGAAGGTATAAAATGAAGTTATTTCTCACCAGGTAGATTATAAAGTAGTAGTCTCATTAGGTAGCATGGCATTCTGTTTCTCAAAGTCATAAACCAAATTGAAGTATATGTTCCTACCCCCACCAGCAAGCCCTAACATGATCCATCCACCCTTAACTTTCCCTCTGTTACCTTCCTGTCTTAGCCATCCCTGCATTCCTTCTGGCCCAGATTGCTACGATATGGGTAGAATACACACACTTATTATATCCTTTGTGCCAGGTCCTGGGAACGTAGTTACCACTCCTCAGGCTTGACAGTTGGTCAATAATTAGTTTTGCATCCTTACGAGGGGATGGCACAGCTGCCGGGCTCTTCTCTTCTGCTTTTTTGTATTTATCACCCAGTTGGCAGCAGTTGGCCATAAGCCACAATTTAGAAAGCTTTCACGTCTCTGGCATTCTTTTGCTTCCATGTTAGACAAACAAAACTATCTGGAAAATACAATCAAACTAGGAAGGTAATAGATTTTGCAAAATGAGAATTTAATTAAAAGTGACATTCTCATTAATTCAAACTCAAATTTTATGGAAGTAAGGTGTCTAAGATTTTCACTCATCATCTAAATCAGAAAGCAGATAAGAGAGAACGAAGGGCTTAAAACTCAGACTCAGTTTGAAGATTAGGCCATCGTCTTCATTTGCATGTTTTTACTGTGGAGACTTACAGATTTCATCATTTCACTAGCTTTGGAATTTTCCTGAATAGGGTTAAAATTGTAAAGACTTTTTGGCTCTTCATTGTAAGATGTTTGCCTTAATTAGAAGTGGTCAAGTCATAAATACAATTTGTGTAGAAAGAAAAAACTTGGACGAATGTGAGGAGGACAGAGAGGAAAAGAGAACCTATAGTAGTTTCTTCATCTACATCACTGCAACTCACCTGTCAGGGCTTTCTAGGCCCATTCTTACTAAAAACTGAAAAATAAAATAAGGCTTCTGATTGAAGTGTTCAGGGCTTTTTTTTTTTTATTATCTTGCTTCCAAATAATATTTGAGAAAACAAAACTACTATAATATATAAATTCACCAAAAGCAATCAGATTTTGCATTGTTTTTAATTTCTCATAACAAATAGCAAAATGCAACTATTAAGCCTATGAGGAGTTTTTCCATGAATATACTGATTTCTTCATGGGCTTCAGAAGGTGTCACATTTTAACACTGTTTGAAAAAAATGAAGTTTTGGGTAGATGAAGTATCTTACAAAATTTATTGAAAGTAGAATACGCTGGTGGAAACATTAGTATCCATATCTCTTGAGATGAAAACTAAAATTGTGACTATACAGTACTAAAACCAACCTCACTAGCAGTTCCATTTAAATCAGCCTCAACCCAGATGGGACTTGATACCTTCTACCCCACAAAGTATGTGAGGATCAAGAGACAATGTACCTGCAAGTATTTTAAAACTAAGAAGTGCTATACAAACATGTTCTACCATTACTGTTAATCATTTGATTGCAGTTTTACCACTTCTGATTGTTATACAGGTGAAACAGATTATCCTTTATTTGTTACAGAATTTCTAGTAAGTTATAAACACAACGTATGCTATAAAATTGTGACTGTGCTTCTTTGGCCAAGACCCATTCATTTTGAGTACAAGAAAAATGTTTTGACCCCAGAGTGGATTGGGCCCAAAGACTGGGATTTTTCACACTGAAAACTAAAGGTATATTGTAGTGTAGATGAAAAGAAACAGAGAAACTACTTAATTTTGGCATTTCTTTGAGAATCTGAAGATGCTTGAGTTGATCCATCATGGTTCAGCTCCCCACCAGCACATGTTAAACCCTCGTGTATAAATGCACCCTTGGCTTCACCACTTGACCAGTATCAACACACTATTACATGCCATTAGTTACCAACAAAAACAGCATTTATGTGATTTTTTTTTCTAAATTTTAGCCACAGTATCTCCCATACGTGAAGCCTTTAATGAATCTCCCAGATGGGACAAGCCGTTCTTTCCTCGTTCCTTGATTGTAGAACATATCACATTTTATTTAAAATACTTTTTTGAACCTTGGTGTCTACTCCACTAGACTAAGAACTTCTCAAGGGCAGATTCTGAAACTTGGAGCTCCGTGATCAAATGCAGTGGCTGGCACAGAGAGTACACCAATAGTGTGCTTCTGTCATCTCAGAGGCGTTCTGCATACACGTGCGATGTATCTTGACTATCTTTTATACTATAAGACAGTATAGTATAAGTATCATTTAATAATTTCTTAAAGAAAACAAGACCATACAGCCAAGTTATGTAGGTTCACAGTCCAAAAGAAAATATTTATGGATATTTCTATTTGTAGAGTATATTAAAGTCTAAATGATTCTGTGGAAGTGGTATTTACTATTTTATATCGTTATTATTAGACTTTTCATTTTACTAATGAAGAATAAAAGATCAGTTATCATGGTGTTCTGATATGCTAAGTAAATCTTTGATAATTCCCAGTTCTGAGAACAGTAGCAACTAGGCGATTATACTGTTATTTGGGAAGAAGTTGGATGCCTTAAAAAAGAAGTTTATTTTATACAAATAATTAAAGAGATACATTTTAATTCAAATGTCTTTTACCCAAAAATGTCATAAACCAAAATGAAAGCTAACATGGTCTATGAATATATTTTTGAAAGAAATGCAACCTTCTATATCAGCTACTTAGAGAATGCCAGCTTCGAAACATCTGAAACACCATAAAAAATGTGATTTTTTTAAAAAAGCATATTATTTTTCCTTATAATGAAAAAATGAACAAAAATAGTTTGAAAAATTAGACATATACTTATATTCATGATCAGTAAGTACAAACTGACATTTCCAGTTAATTTTTTTCTCTTCCCTGTTTTTTCTGATCCAATTATAGTAGACAGGCAAATCTTCTATTCTTATTTTCGGATTTCTGTGACTTTTTTTCCCCAGAACATTTCCCCACACTGCAGTACCTGCCTTTAGTGCAGG